AATTTATTTGAGGAATATAACGTGAGCACTTTTTTTTATATCAATTTTTTTAAGTACCCAGTAATCTTTAAAATTTAGGAAAATATTCTCCGTAATGTATTGTTTTATTGAATTTTAGGTTCTTTGACTTTAAATTTACTATAGTTATCGGTTTTGTTTTCTGATAATGTCGTGTATGGAGGTCAGTATTTATAAAAATGGCACGTTTTTGCACACAAAAATTTCCAAAATACTTTTAAAATATTACTGTTCTATGAATTGTACTAAACTTTTCTATTTTTGATTAGTAAATATAGTTTTTACTTAATAACAAAATCATCTAATGAGAATAAATTATACTGAAATTTAGGAGAGTTAAAACTATAAATTATTTTAAATTTTAAGAAGGTCAGTATTATTTATAGTGTCAAAATATAAGCGTAGCAAATCAATGGTTCGAGGTCGTGCCTTTTTTTGTTTACTACAATTCTAATTAAGCCAGATGGAGTTTTTTTTTTTAATTTGTCACCAGTGAAGATAAGGGCAACTTTTAAGGTATGTGTTGTTTTTCAAAGAAATGTATTAAAAATCAATAACAAAAAAAGCTATGATACTAAGAATTTGAAACCGATTAGATGGTTCATTTCTGAGATACTCTCATCAAATCCTCATTACACGTAACAGAATTTCAATTCTTTATATTGCAAACTATAAAACAAAGGTTAAGGATGTATATTTTATATATTTAGCATGTACAACATTTTCACTAACATTATACACACACACACACACACACACATATATATATAGTGTGTGTGTGTGTGTGCATCAAAAATACTTTTACAAATTTTGGGCCGGGTTTCTCATAACAAAACAAGAACAAAAGTTCATATAAACATATGTCTGCAAATCCTTCGTTTTTGAGTTTTTAAGTTCAAAGTTTACAGTAGGAACAGTTAAATGTACAATCCAATATACAATCCAAAAATACTTTTACAAAATGTTTGCAAATGATACGGATACAGGAGCTGCTCTTGAAGTACCTTCCATGCAGTACTATGAGATGTACGACATGCAAGAGCCACATGACGTGTTCTGATACCTGCATCGTCTCCGACAGCCTGTAGAATGTGGTCTTTGTGGTCAGTTGTTTGTGGTGTCACGGATCCTGTCTCAGCAAAACGACTATAAACAGCAGCAAAGGTTGGATGACTCAACTGGCTTCGGTCTGGAAATGTAATATGATACAGCCGTGCAGTCTCGGGTCCATTACAATACATGTGTCGTGTGTAAAAACCATACCTGCCTGCTCACAATATGAATATCCTTCCATTGTTAAACAGAACACTTCTCAGTTAACTCACTTCTCCACAACGTTAAACGTTGAAGACAGACTAGCCACAAATGTACACGAATGACAAATGTAACCTAGTCTTTATGGCAGCACAGCGCTAGCTACCGTAAACTTTCTTTAAACTTAATTCAAAAACAAAGGATTTGCGTATATATGATTATATGAACTTTTGTCCTTGTTTTGGTGTGAGGAAGCCGCCACCCAAATAATTTTTGATACACAATATATATATATGTGTGTGTGTGTGTGTGTGTGTGTGTGTGTGTGTGTGTGTGTGTGTGTGTGTGTGTGTGTGTAGGTAAGTAGCTCCAAAGATTCTCTAAAAATAGACATATATGATGAAAAGATGACTCAAACTTTATAAAAACGATGTTTTAACTTCAAAATCGTTATGTTATTATTAAGAGGAAAGGTCAAAGGATGTTTTATTATTAAATTATATTTTTTGTTCCTCTTTACAATGTTTGGTTAAAATTCTTATTTTCATAAGTAACAATCAGTCCCAAAACAAGACGTCGGTACTTAAAAAGATATTTTATAAATATTTGTATTTAGAAAGTACCAATCTGCTTTGAAATTTTTTTTTTTTCGCCTTATCTCGAACACTGACCATTGGCACTGACGAGGAATACGCAACTCGAACCTACCAAGTTGTTGATAACAGCGCAGGGATGAATTCATTAATCAGAGCAAAATAGACAGCCTTCTGAATTCATTAAGACTAAATATCATTAAAGAAAATTACTCTCAAATCATTGAGAATTCTTTTTCTTCTTTTTTATGCACAAATTCATATACGATCGTTTTCTTTTTTCTCTCAGAAACCAATGCTTACAAATTATGAGTAAATTTTTTATTAATATTATCATTCAACAAAACCGACGTCTAGTTCCAATTGACTTGCAAAACGCCTTCAATGCAAAATTTCTTTCTTCAGATTGTAAGATAGACACAGAGCATATTATTGTTTCACTCAGTGGTTCCAAACTGTGCGGGGTGCCTTATTGGTGCAGTGGAAGTGGATAGCAGATGAAGCAGAATGATTGAAAGATTTAGAAACAGTTTCAAAAAATTCATATGTCAAAAATAAATATGATTTCAAAATTTAAAATATTCTTATGGATTACTTGTAATTGCATGCATGAGTCCAGTATAAATAGTCTATATAAATACGTTTTTCGATCCCGTTTAATCATAAACAACCTGAAGTAACAGATATTAACTAATGTAGTTTCACGCGATTAAAAATTAAATAAATAACTCATTTAAAGTTAAATTTAAATATCGAACAGATTGAAAAGTTTAAAAAAACAACTCTTTCTTAAAGGTTTAACTTTAATTTCGTTTTTCGTCGTAATTGCAATTGATACCGTAATTAAAACTTAAGCGTGACACGCTATGTTGCTCATATTTGTTTTTTTTTCTTTTTATAGCATGCGTACCGTGACTTATTCGAAATATTACATAGTTCGGGTTCCTTAATGTCTTTTAAGAGTGATTTTATTTGAAGGGATCAGAAAGAATGGTGATTTTAAAAGAAAAAAAAAAATTGCGCGTGAAATAAATGTAAAAAAACCACGGAGATTGGTTACGTATATGAAGAAAGATTATGCCGAACTAAGGTGTCGAATAAAAATAAAATAATTTTATTATTTCTAAATTTCTATAACTTTTATGTACATAGGACGCTGAAGGTAAAAGGCCGAAGTCTTAAAAACCTTCTGCAGAAGTTAGCTTAGTCTGCCTGAATGCAGGCTTTTAGGCTAGTCATAAATAATTATTGATTGTGATATTTTTGCATTATATCAAGTATTAAGTATATAGTGACTAGGCTCCGTAAATTGAAGAAGAGAGTTATCAATGATAATGTTCTAACTTCGAATTCGGGGTTATCTCCTTTTAACCCTCTGTCTGTCTTTTTTCTTTCTTTTTTTTCTTTTTTTTTTTTACTTTTAAATGTACTTTTCATAAAATTTGTTGAGGCGCGAGCAAATTTCCATTCCGAAAATGAAAGTTTAGGAACCACTGGCTTCACTTATTAAATGTTCACAGCAGCATGAACCGATAGCTTGCACTGCCAATTACATGACAGCACATCTCCTCATTATTCCAGGATTTTCCTAATATTTCGGTTCTCTTTCCTAAAGCTGTCGGTTCGGTTCTTCTTTTTGCTTTCACGTCTTAAAAGCTTTTTTATATTCGTTCCAAGCGTTCCAACAATTATATAAACTGTCGCCTTTCATACTATTCGCGTTATAATTATTGAGGTGACTGGCTAGAATTATCTGTCTTAAATCCTATTCACATTCAATGCAGATGATACAAGACGCTTATCCAACAGGTCAATTCAGTGTTCTTTAGGAAGCAAAAGACTCACCAGAGTGCTCCTTTTTAACACCATGGCACCAGACACCATCTAACCATGGTTCGAAATGTCGCCTTATATACCATAGAGAATTAGCAACGCTTGACGTGACATGATGTGTCATGGTTCTAATTGTTTCAAGATGATAGTAGGGTTCAGATGGGACGCAGACTGCATGAAGCCATGAACCCAGTTGTCAACAAGGCAACGGACAGGCTTCAGTTTTTTTTTGTTTTTTGTTTTTTTTTTTCATTATAGTATGTGATATGTTTCTATTACATGGATTGTGTCAGCGGGTCTGTCAAAACACATCATTAACCTGTGACTATCTTGTATTATTTCATGACCGTTTACACCTGTTCATTGTCAACACGTACTCTATCAACACTAGGCTATTCCAGCAGGTGTTATCATGACCAAGTTTATCAGAATTGCTTTGAGAAGCATTCTGGAGACTTCCAACGAAAGATGTAGCCACTACATTCACCTAAAATGGGCCCGATCGAGAATTTTGAGGTTTGATGAAGAGGTTTAAAGACCCTGCACTTATCAGGGTGTTGCGGACAGTTAGCGATTTGGCATGGCACAGTATTTTTCCAAAAGTCTTCCAACTATTTGTGAAACCGATACCACAAGTTACTGCATATCACCAAAATAAATAGAGTCCTAAACGCTACTACCTACACACCCCATAACTTTTAGCAGATCAGTGTATTTTGCCTACTTTTCAGAGTGACTTAAATGTGAATCCTGCAGAATAGATTTCTGTGAAAATGGAAAAATAGCAATGACCGAGACAATATTGTTAACAATATAACAGATGGCCATTGTTTTGTGGTTACTTTGAATGGGTTTGACTAATTTCGTTTCCATCTGTAAAACTTCAGAAAGTGAAAGGACAGAACCATTTCTTCTTACCTCGTTGTTACAATTTATCTCTAATTAAGCCCATTGGGAACATTTAGTGCCGAGCTGTTATCTAATCCAAGATACTTGATGTAAAACTGTCAGCCCAATTATTATTTGCGACTAACATCCACATACTTTGTTTATATTTGATTTACTTAAGACGACCGACAAAAGAAAACAGCGATTACAGCGGGTGGAAAGTCACGATAATAACAAAATGAAGATGCTAATCTGAAATAAACCGCTGCGTAACTCACTAACCACATGTAGTGCAGCTGTAACCCTATAGGTGTGTCTAGGCCAAGATGGTCTGTCGGAACCCATCCTTCATGCTGGTTTTGAATTCAGAATTCTTTCTAGATTTGCTGCCACCTAAAGCAGGAGAAGAGGTTACGGCCACTTTACATTGAAACACCGGTTCCCGTAAGATTACCGAAGTTAAGCAACGTCGAACCTGGTCAGTACGTAGACGGGTGACCGATTGGGAATAACAAGTGCTGTAAACATGGATGTGCGTGTGGTGTAATAGATACCGGCTCGGAATTGTTCCCGCTGGGTTCGTTATATTCACTTACGCGAAAATACCGCTGAGAAAGGTATGAATCTACCTGTTCACACACAACTACCCCCAGTTATGGGTTAATCAACAAGTCTTGTATCACGGAACCTTTATTATCTAAAAAAAAAATTTAAATCTAAAAAAATATTTCCTGGCTTTAAATAACGTTCAAAGTGTTGATAAGCCTAAAAAACGAATAAATCAAAAGCAAGTTGTCACAATTAAGGAAGTTGGATTCACGCTTTTGCCAAGGGCATCAGAATCGACCAACATTTTACCTTGGCACGCCAATTTCATAATCTGCGCTGATAAGCGTTACACTAGCCGCACATCTACCTGAAATAAATATTGTATAACAAAAGCTCACGTCCTAAATAGCTACGGTACATAGAAGAAGAACAAAAGCTCGTCTGAAAATGTCAAACAAAAACAAGAAAGGAAACTTGTTTCTATAACAGTTACCAGTTATTTCTAGTTAAATTTTCATTTAAATTTCAATTATCAAAATCATCTAAATCAATTATCAACACCCAAATGAGAGTTTACTATATAAAGTTTCTCATCTGAAAACAGATCTTATCACATCTGTGGTCCTTTGAAAAACCTTTAAAATGCATAATAAAAATAGGCTATAGTCATATATTCGGTATAATTTTAAAGTTTCAGTGTTATTTTGCTTCCTTCATGTTTTAAAATGATTTTATCGTCTCTTCATAAAAATAATTGCTTCAGTAGAAGTTATTTTTACCAGATTATGACATGCCACTTGAAAAAGTGTTGTTTACTGTCAAGTCAGACGTTTACCCCGATTGTAACTACTGACTAATGTAGAGTTTAGGAAGATATTTAATTTACTCACGTAGAGTTTGGGAATGATACTAACTTTCAAATTAAATGTCTACTATCTACTCATGAATTTTGAGCAGCAAGGTTTTATGTATGTTTAGATATTCTTTAATGATTTGAATTGCTTCATTTCATTTTTTTTTCTCACATCCCTAATTATTCTACATTTTGAAAGTGTCTGGAGTTAAACACAATATTCAAATAATTATTATCACTATTAATACTTTCACAATTTTCACAGCTCCCCAGAAAGGTTTTATTTATTTTCTTCCTTATTTTCAACTTCACTCAATGGTCACGTCTACGCCTTCTTTTATGTGTCATGTCTCTTCAGGGCGTTGACAATCATGACTTTCCACAATTTCATGTCCTTTGTAGCTCTTAATAAATTTTGTTTTTTACTATCTCTCTTAAAACATGTTCCACTATTCATTTACTTCAGCTCGCTAGGTAGGTTATACGCTGTTTACCTCTGTTCTACCTGCCTTCAATCTGTCCTTGAGTGTCAAATTTTCCAAGCCCTCTTTTCTCATTATGTGCCCTAGAAATTGCAAATATTTCTTCCTTATGTTAAGAATAAGTGTCTTTTTTGTTTCTTTAAAATTTCGTCGTTGCTCACATGTAAAACTGCAATTCTTTTGCGTCAAGTCTCTTCTTCACCCAAGGAAATTTTCTAGCATTGACTGCCTTATAGGAGAACTAATATTCCATAAGAGTTCAGTAATCTTTTTATGATGTGCATAAGTAATTGGCTTTCATAGTCTGCTCAGTTCTCTGTGGATCACCGCCCTTAACCAGTCAATATAATATAATCTTCAAATATTCAAATGTAATGTCAATCGACATCTCCTGATGCTTGACCTTGATCCATGTCCTTCTCTTTATCCTTTTTCGAAACATTCCTCTTTACTCTTAACCTCATTCACAATAACCCCTTGCGTGCTAGTAACACTCTTACTTTGCTGGGGCGAATTGAATATATATATATATATATATATATATATATATATATATATATATATATATATATACATTTCGCCCTAAGCAAGGTAAAGTGTCACTAGCATGCAAGTTAAAAATGAAGAAGATAAAAATATATATATATATATATATATATATATATATATATATATATAGAGAGAGAGAGAGAGAGAGAGAGAGAGAGAGAGAGAGAGGAGAGAGAGAGAGGACAACTCTGAATTCAAAACCTACGGAGGGTCGTTTGGGGACCTTGTGGCACGTAGTGCACCAGGTCACTGTATTCGACCTTTCAAAAAGTGTGGATGGTTCTGCACAAAATCTTTACCACTATAATCTAATCTCATGTGCTGTTGTCGGGCTCTCAGTTCCCTAGGAACTGATCTGCTTGACCCTCATACGTCGTCGACGGGAGAGTCGAGTATACATATTACTCTTATTCCACAAGAAACCTGTTGCATTCACTTATTGTGTGATTAACGGTTTCATCTTTATTCCCGCACAGGTGACACTAACCCACGCACCTGATAGTTTAATGATTGACCAATGGATATATTTCACTTAAATATCTGAGAATTGGCTAAGTGTAACAGAAAAATAATAATGAAATTTGAAAAAGTTCAGTATCTTTCAAAAGATAGGAGATAGAATACGACGGTTATCAAAATATTGAAACGATTCAATAAGAAATAGTTTTGTCGGTTTAATTAAATTTTTACATGGTAAATAAAAAGAAAAGTTTATGCATGCAACAACTGTCACCACAGGAAAGATAAAAGTATACATTGTAGCCCATAGAAATAAAGTCATAAAGTGTCATAAGAGAGGGTATGAAAGTATCATCTTCCAAAGTCAACGGTATGTGCCATTATTATGAAGAGTTCAGATACTGATACTGTCGTGACGAAATATGAAAGAAGCCGTAAACGAATATTTTCAGAACGCAGGAGAGTGAGATTTTAACAGAATAATCTTTGAAGCGATCACCAGACAAATAACTGATGAATAAGCAGCTGTAGGTACAACAGTTTCTCAACGAACGGTGGGTAGAATTCTTGAAAGAGGGGCACTGAAAAAATGTCATCCTAGAAAGATTCTTCTCTTACAGCTTCGCAATTTGAAAACACATTTGAAGTTTACTAAAGATCATATTGAGAAGAATGATTAATTTTTTTAAGAAAATATGGTCTGATGAAACAATGGAGTTATTTGGATATAACCACGTCTCAAGTTAGAAGAAAAATATTGAAGTTCGTCTGCCGGAGCATGGCAGTAGTAAATTGCTTTTTGGTCGTGGGGAGGGCTGTTGAGCAAAAAAAAGGTCCTGGAAATTTAATTAAAGTTGACGGGGTTATGAGAAAGTTATGATATTTTGAGCCACAACTTGAATTGTCTGCAAAGGAACTAGGACGGCATTGAAAACTTCATGCAGGCCGATGACCCTTAGCATATTTCAAATTTAATGAAAACTTAGTTAGAGACAAATAAGATTGAGGTTTTATCATAGCCAGCTCAAAGTTCAAACCTTAATTCAATAGAAATTTTGTGGAGGAATTTAAAAAGGGCGGACAACGCAATGGAATCTGTAATATAGCAACAACTCTAAGTAGAAGCTTTTGAAGCTTTATTTGACTTAGATTTAGTGCTGAAAAACGTTCATTTTATCATGATAGATGGTTACAAGTGAGAGGGGAGATAGGATGTTCTTATTTTTTTACCAAAGAATCTTAAGAGTATCCAATTATTAGAAGCTATTTCTCAAGAGGAGTGGAAAAAAATAAGTGTAACAACTTTTGATGAAAGATTCTAGAATGCTATCGCTTTAAAAAGCTACGTTATTTACTATTAATTAAACGTGCCAATAATTTTACCCTTAAAAATTTGTTTTTTTTAATTATTTTCGTTTTATTTAATTAATGTTCAAAAAATTATGATGGATGGAATGCTTTCGGAGTAAAGTTATCAAAATATTGTTTTTTGTTCCTTTTATTTCACACGTTAGAATTTAATTATACTCACAAAACTATTTTTATTAAACCACTCTAATAATTCTGACGATCCCTGTATATAAACATTTATTCATAAAGTATGCATACTAAGATACTGGTAAGGTTGATTGGATGAGTGTATAATGAAACACATAATATGAGATATGCTTTCAAATAGAATTGATAAGGACAGAGGAGTATAAAAAGTGATAAAACTCGTTAACGAAAATAAAATAGGGGTGAAAAAATAACAGTAACATTTTGAATCTTATTAATTTAAAAGTTAGAACTTTTGCAAGTGATATATGTCAAAATCCAATATTTGAAGATATCCACCTTTTTTAATATCCCATCTTTTCAAAAGAATTATAGTTCCAAATTTATCAACCCTTAATTATAATGACTTTTTAAATAAATATTTGATTCCTTTAACCCGAAGCTTCTGTAACACTGGCCACTTCTAAAAGTTATTTTCTGAGATTTTCGTAAGTCTTCGGAATCTTTTGACTTGTATTTTCATCCATTTTTCTATGCAGAATGATTTCAAATAGTTTAGATTTCATGACTTCCGTTTATAAGCAGCCTTTTTCAATTTATGCCACAGATATTCAATTGGCTTTAGATGAGATAACAGAAAACCATTCTATTAACATTTTCTTATTCTCTTTAAACTATTCTGGGTGCTTTTCTAACTACTTTTTCGTTTTTCCGTTTTTAAGTATGTTTTATAGCGTTATTGGAAAATATCTCACCTAAGTTGGTTATCATAGGTTAAAAAGATCTTCCACCTAAAGGGTTGGCATTTTAAAGAATTCATCAATCAATTTCTTTCTCGAGTCTTCAGAGTGCTCTTTACGTTTCGTCAGGATTTAAAAAACGAATAAATATTTAATATGGAAAATATTTTTATAGAGCTTCCTTTAAGTGATGCTGAGCCTTAAAAGTAAATGTTTTAGTTTTAGCTGCTATTATGACATAAATTATTGGCTAATTTATTTTTGTTTTAGTTTTTTTATTGGAGATGGATAATTTACCAGAAGTTATTATTGTTAATTGTGGAAATAAATTAGTGTTAATTCTTTTTTATCTATTCACGTTTTAACTGCTTTACTAAGGCTAGTTGAATAAATAA